AATATATAGAAGTCCATTACTGTATATAGTAACTATTAAGTCTAATATACCCTAGTAAGCTATACTACTTTTTCCTTTGGGAAGATACCATCTGAGCATCACGAGGTGGAGGGTGTGGGGTGGTTCCCTATTTTTTTTTATTTTTTTTGCTGGGAGTTTGCAACCCTGTTAGTTAGGTTGCTTAATATTTCTGCTAAGTACTCTTTAAAATACCAGAATAGGAAGGATGGAGCAGGTTTAAGGTTATTAGATTGATCAGTTTTGCTGAACTATGAAATATTTTGGGTGCAGTGTATTTTTTACATACAGGTATATCAGAATAGCTTTAGTGTTTGTTTTTGTAACTTGAGTATGAACTTATACAAAAAGCAGCAAAATATTAAAAAAACGTTTTATTGATTAAAAAACACTATATCGGATTCATATCAGTATCGGCAGATATCCAAATTTATGATATCGGCATCGGACATAAAAAAGTGGTATCGTGCCATCTCCAGTATTTACCTTACAATGTAAAGTGCCTTGAGGTTACTGTTGTGATTTGGGGGTTTATATATGCAATTTAATTTAATTTACAATAATTTTTAAGAAAATGTTATCATAATTTTTAATTAAAAACATAATATTAATATTATTAATTCTTTGTTTTCAGTGTTTAGTGGTTAAATCTTATGTTGGAAGAATCAAAAGGTACCTGTTAATTAGTTTATAATTAAGCTGAACTTGCTCGTAATTGTGCTGATTGGGAGCGTTTTTATTCTTCAGCTCTCATTTTATGGGAAGTCATTTGGTTTTATTACAAGAGGGGTTTACTTTTATTGCATGTTTTGGCATGTCCTTTCAGTAATGGTACTAGATGGGGCTTGTTTTAAAAATGAAAGTAATTCCAAAATGCTTTCAAGCTCTCAACAGCTGTCACCTCCTCCGCCCTGTTTTAAATGAAAAAGCCCCTTGAATCATACTCTTGAGACTGTGGAAAATAAAAATGTCACTTTCCAAAATGATGAGTAAATGCACACCTTAAGAACACTGTTACATTTGCTTACACTGTTGAACAATGCTGCTCATACCAGTTTTCTCAGTTTGTTATGGTAGTGTGGATTATGGCTTCAACATGGTCACGTGTAACGTAGGGTATGTCAAGCCAAAGTCTTATACTTTGTTTTCTTTAGATCTCCTGCAAGAAAACAATGTTGTAAATCATGGCATTTACTAGTCATTTATTACTGGTAAATGTAACATGATAAAGTCACTTTTTCTCAGTTGTTTTTTTTCTCAAACATATTTGTATCTCATTTGCCCATCCAGTGTAGACAATTATTGATATTCACTTCAACTATAAAATGATCATGGTTTCCTGTTATGTGCAGGTTCTAGATGGAAAGGAGGAGGTGGAGAAACAACACAGAGAGAACATCAAGAAGCTGAATGGTGTGGTGGAGCGCCAGGAGAAGGAACTGAGCAGGCTGCAGTCAGACACTGAGGAGCTGCAGGAGAAAAACAGGAGCCTCGAGGCTGCTCTGGACAACTCTTATAAGTAAGCAAACTAACCTCATATGCAACATGACAAATTCTTTGCAGATCCTAAACGGTCACTGTATTGGTAAAGATATTCATATGTTAACCAGAGCTATTAGAGTGCACTCATCCATGTTGTTTTCTTTTTGCAAAGTTTTTCTCTCCCTATCGTTCCCTTGATACTATTTCCTCATTGCCATATTTACACTGTGAAGACACAAATTTTGGCCAAAAGCCAAAAACTAATTTGTGTGAGTCAGGCTGATTAAATGTTTTACAACCACGAGTTGAACTTTGATATGTATTTTAAAACAGAACAAGCCATGTGGTTGTTTTTCCACATGCCTTTCATTTAAAGTGACAATTCATGGCCATGCTCGTTCCATGTACACTAAGGCTACGTTCACACTGCAGGTGTTAATGCTCAATTCCG